CTAAATTGGTAACAATTATGCTAATTTGGTAACAAATTATATCTTTTTCTTTTTAAGATTTCCTGTATAATTGAAGTAAATATAAACATAAGATAAATATATTAATTAAAAACACCATACCATCTCAGCGGTAAACTATTTATTGTCTGGCCATTTGATATATTATTGAAACAACTCTTTTGCTAAATTGGTAACAAATGATTTCTTTGAAGATTTCCTGAGGAATTAAAGCAAGCATAAACATAACATGAATAACTATATTAATTGAAAACAAAATACCATCTCAGTGCTAAATTACTTAGCATCGGGACATTAATAAAATACCGAAATAACTCTTTTACTAAATTGGTAACACTTATGCTGAATAGGTAACACATGATTTATTCTAAGATTTCCTTTATTCTGTCCTCGCACTTAAGTTTGCAATAATAATACTAAAATATTAGCACTCATTGAGTGCCTGTAAGCGATCGTCATGCTTACTACATAAAAGTCGTAAGTGTTGATACGTATCAGGTAGGATGTCGAGGATGAACGGAGGACTTTCTCAAAATAATTCTAGGATTCTGCCACAATTGGACTATTTATTTCATAAATTGTCATGATTTTTCTGTAGTCGACAAGTTTCGGATTAGAAATAGCTGCAGGAAGGTCCATCCTCAGGGATAGAGGTCCGTCATTAAATGTCAAAATATAAATTGCAAAATAATTAAAAGATAAAATGAGTTTAATAAATGAAGACAGATCACATATAGAACTTTTTATTGCTTACGATAACTTGAGCCTTTTTCAGCAAACCAAGACCAAACTTCACACAATACTTTTTTCACATTTTTTTACTTTATTTATTGAGCAGACCATTTTCTCTTTTTTCAAGTTTTCCATGCATAACTGATATATAAACGACGGTTCAGAAATAAAGGAGTTCTGTTTTTTCAAATGAGTGCTGTTGTGCATTTGTGTTAAAAATATGTGACATTTGTTTCCTAATCCGAAGACTTGAGGAAAATCAAAGATGCGTCGCATACCTATAAAAAATCGCCTGTGAGTTACGATTTTACATATATACATACATATTTACACGTGTATATGTGTAAGTTCTATACCTTATATTTCCATTTTAGTCCGGGTACCTACGTCAAGAGGGTTCGGAGGACAGCTTCATTACAGAAGATGTTGAGGGAAAAGAGGTTATTACATATAAACTTACTAATTCCATTGTTATCGCACGAATATCAAAATTTTAATGATCGCTTTCTGAAAATAAATAAAGTCAATTGTCGCAAAAATGGATACACCATTTCTATTAAAAAAGAAGTTTAAGAAATATTTTGTTAATAAATCATGGTTTGATAAGATGATAAAACTAGAAGGCGCGATGAAAGATCTTGCCCCTTGTGATAGTAGAACATGCATTTCACGTACTGACTCTGATGGTTAAACGTTTTAGCATGCAGCTGCATATACTGGTTCATTCGTTTTACAGGCTAATGCCATGGAAGGATGGAGGGACTCCGAGTTAATCCGTCATTTCAATGGATGGCTAAGGGGACCAGAAAGGTTGAAAAATGAAAAAGCTGCGGAACAGCATTGCTACCAAATTTACCAAGTCATCAAATACTTGGACCCTAAGCTACGGGTCTCCTCCTTCCTCCATTGGAAGGATCTGCGCAATTGGTTTATGGAGGCAATAAACAGGTACAAACCGGGGACTGTGTGTTCATATTTAACTTCCATTAGGGAGTTTATTAACTTTATAACTACCGAACTAGAACAGGAACCGGAAGATGAAAGAAAGATCTTTGAAGTCAGCCAAGCCATCAAAAGATGGAACTCGATCCTGGGAAAAAGTAAGAAGAAGCGGCGGGTGGAGGTCTCTGCAACAGGGGAACATAACAGCATATCTCCAATCGACATCAGCACATGCCTTCAGTCAGATGTCGCCAAAAGGGCAAGGCATTTATTGGAAACATTCAGTCAAGGAGACCAGCTTTCAAGGTCGGATTATTGCTTGGTTAGAAACTATCTTATTTTTGTTCTGATTGCTAGGAACGCTCAGCGGTCGGGAGCGGTGGCCAATCTTAGGATCAAGATGCTCAAGACGGCAGACAAAAGAGGAAGTGACTATATATTAACTGTGCCGGAACACAAAACCGGATACTCCGCGCCGGTGTACTTAGTCACCTCTACATCAACATTCCGAAGTCTCCATGTTTATCTTAGCATGCGACAGTCTTTGCCAGATTTTGAAGAAGATATAGCAGATCCAGATGAAGGATATGTTTTCATTTCATGGCCTTCCAGAACAGGTGTTCCGCCCATTCCCATGTCCGCTAGCCGGGTAAACCGGTCAATAAATGACTTCTGGAATGATGCGGGTTTATCATCAAATCTCTCTGCTACTAAACTTAGGAAGTCGACTGTGACAAATGTGAGGGATGCGGACCCGAATCTAAGAGAAAAACTATCTGCACACATGAGCCACTCAGCGCGAACGGCTGACACATATTATCTAACACACAGCAGATATGAGGACAGTGTGAATGTGTCACAAAAGATAGCTACCGTGATGCGGGTGGAACCACAGAATACAGGTGAATGTGAACTGTTTGCATAAGCATATCATACTACATATAAACATTTTCAAAGGATTATTTTGGCAAAGAAATGTAATTTTAAGACTGAGGTTAATTTTTAAGGTCTACAATGTCTGAATCTGAAAAGGTGTCGATGAGAGAAAATATATGCACTTTAATTACATTGTATTTCCTTTTATAGTTCCAGTTCCATTGGACGACCTTGACATTGGGGCAGAGGAGGTCGTTAGCCAGGAAGTTGAGGATGTCCCTGATGTCCCTGGGAAAAGTAAGGAAGTGGACAAGGAAGTGGAGGGTCTTCATATGCAGAATGATAACACCCCGAAGGGAGGCCGGAGGGCTTTCTCAAGGTCTCAACAAGATACTATTATTGAGACATTTCATGAATTTATATCAAATCCAGATAAAAAATTGAACCAAATGATCGTACAGCAGGTTCTGTCAAAAACAACAGAAGGGAAACGGCTTCTGAATATATTCACTCTAAAGCAACTGGTGGATAGGGTGCGTACTGCAAGGAGAGCGGTTGCGAAGAAGTAAAAAAAATAGTGCAAAAATTACAATTTAACTACGTTACAATTTTCATCATTTGATGTTCCGAGAAAACCCTTTATTTTACTCGATTGTGTAGTGTTTTTCTTAATTTCTTTTTTTTTTCTTTTTTTTTTTTTTTTTTTTTTTTTTTTTTTTTTTTTTTTTTTTTTTTTTTTTTTTTTTTTTTTTTTTGGGTTTTTTTTTATTATTTTTTTTTTTCCTAATTTGATGAAAAGTTACTAATTAATGAAAATACATAAAAAGAACGAGAATGTACACATTAATAAAGAACATATTGCACGTATGTATCAAAACCTTAATGAAAACGAAGAATGTATGAATTGGAAATATACATTTATTATATTAAGAAATAATGACAATGTATGTATGTATGAAAAATGAAAAAACAACAAAAGCAAGGTGAAACAACTGATATAGACAGTGTGCGAGCTACACGAAAATTGTACGAGAAAACCCTTTATTTTACATGATTGTGTAGGTTTTTTCATAACTTTCATAACACGTACGCATGAAAATGTGTAAGAATGTATGAGTCAAAAATATATATGCGATATTTTAAAAAAAAATGTATCATAATGCATAGTTAAGAAAGGTTAATCAATCGGTGAACAAGTGCGAAGTCAAAAAACTGCGAAAAACTCTGTCCTTTACAGAAGTCTTGTTTAGCACGGAGATTGCTAAAATAAATGATATTAATAGAATAATTTTGTATGTTGTTGATTATTTTCTTTCGTTGAGTAATGATCTTTTTTAACATAAAGAGTTATACAAGAAACTGGGAATCCATTACATTTGGACGGAGGGATTGTCGATATTACAAAATAGTCCACATACTCGACTTTTTCTTAGATTATATATTAAGGTCGAAAAGGTGCAAGAGCATGGAAAATACAATTTGGAACTATAAAAAAAACAACAACAAAACAAATACCAACATTCCAAGTAATATCACGTTCCCAAATGAGAACAAGGTAACAGGTATAATTACAGGCACAGAACACATCTAATTTCAAATAGAAAATAGAATGATATCAACTTGTTGACCGTAAAACTAGAAAACATTCATCAGGACTTCGTTCAATATGATACAACATCGTCTTCTTCTCGAAAACTGAATTTCAACGTTTGCCAATTCTTAATATCCACACTATATCTTCTACATTATATCTTTCTAAATCGTTTTTGAGAAGTAATAAAGAGGACAGCCAAAACAAAGAACAATCATCTTCGAGAGGGAGACTAAGAGCAACCTTATGCGAAATTTATACAAGAAATTTGATAAGGTGAAAAAGTTTATCAGGCTCAATAATGTATTTTTTCCATGTTTTTAAGTGTTCCGTCAGCGTTGTGCAAAATCAAATATTTTTAAAGATAGCTATTTTGAAAAGCTGGTCGATAACAAAGAAGATTTGCTGCGAAATATTGTCGAATTTGAAGATAAGATACTCAAAATTGAGAAAGTTATTCAAAGGGCAATGAAAACGGTGAGGTTTGGACCCAAGGTTGCGTCCGTATTACAGACTCTGAAGCGTTTAACGATCCTACAAACGCAATAAAAACGCAAAAGGCTTTGAAAAAAAAGCAAACGCAAACGATTATCAATGCAAACGCGAAATGCTGAAAATCAAGTGATAAAATGTTTGTGAATGACTTCAGAAGAGATTTGTGCATACCATTAAAAAAAAATTAAAATTGTTTTTCTTGAGATAACTTTTAAAATCAGGATATAACTTCCACCGCAATAAAGTTACTAGGGAAAAAAGCGAAAGCGAAACAAGTGGCAAACTGTAGAACTGACTTAAACTTCAACTTAAATAGTCAGAATTGTACAAATTTTCCATATGTCATTCAATAAACACCATTGTTTATATTGGAAGCTTTCCTGAAGAATCCGATAATTTTTATGCGCTCTATTGCCCTTTCCACGTGGATTCTCAGTCGAGCTATGCGCCTTGTTGTGGTTTCCTGTTCAACGGACATCTGCTGAACACCTCTTAACACAGGTGGATGGTCAACTCTGACTCTGAGATTATCCAGCAACGGTTGGATTTCAAACCCCTTATCTGCCATCACATGATCTCCAGGTTCCAGCAAATTCAATAATCCACAATCTTTGGTAATATCAAAGTCACTTGCAGATCCAGCATACAAATCCGACACAAATGTCACTGGTCCGTGGGGAGCTATAGCTACTAGTGCTTTTGCCGTGTGGTGGTTTTTATATGAACTGAACAAAACAGTTTGCAAAACCAAATTTGATGAGGGTTGCTGCAGGAATATTTCTGTGCAATCCACGATACATCTAGTATTTCCATAGTTCAAGTCTTTGAAAGTTTGAGGCATGTTTTTGTTGATGGTTTCTTTTGGAGCCCATATATTCAATGTTGTGAGAACATGTCCCATGTGTTTTATCCATTTACTAAAAATCACACTGACACATGATTGTGAAATGTTGAATCTATGGGCTAGGTCTTGTTCTCTGTATCCCTGACGAAGGCAACACAAAACCAAAAATAGTTGCTCCTGGACACTTAAATTTGGGTCTCTTCCCCTGTTCCTGTTAACATATGTACTGTCTGTCTCTTTTTGCTGGTAATAAAATGAGTTAATCTTGTGCTTTTCTGGGAGTAGGAAATCACAAAGTGCCAAACATGTAAGGTAATCTGGCAAACCAGTGTAAAACTGTATGTCACATGGCGAGTATTTGAATCTCTCTACTCCGAAAATGGGCACTTTCTTGATTTCTTCCAACCTACTGGCAAGCTCTGAACGCTGTCTTCTTTCTTGGTCCAATAAGTCCTTTAAGTGTGGACAAAGCATCTTGTGGATTCTGGTTCTGTGAGTTTACATGTACACCATGTCTTTGTACCTGCAAGGATATAAAGCCATTTCATTGTAACATGGATGTAATACATGTACATTTACTGTTCAATTTTTTGATGCATGTATATGTATCTATGCAACAGCAAAACAATGATGCATCATAGGTCACCCATGCATCCTGGAATGAATTCATGTGTGCTTTAAATTCTTTGTATGTCGAATTTACTTAACAGTGCCGGTACACTGAGCATAAATTATAAAATCCCACATAAGTCACACAGTTACAACTTAGTTCAATGAATTTACACTTGAAGTTGAACTGCAGCTGCTGAATGTGCACATATTGAAAAACAATTTAAATGAAATGTCAAATCATGTACATTTTACATCTCTGAACATGAATGACAGGCTTTTTTACACCAAATTTGTCTGTAAAGCCATGATTTTTATTTTTTTTTTTTTTTTATACTCACTCCGTCTGGTTCACTCTTGGTTTTCTCATGAAGAATTTTCAATTTCTTGGACAAAGGTGGTGAACTGACATTTGGGTGTGATTCTGGGGACAGCAGTTCGTTGTAAATGTCTCTAACAGCTGGTGACATATCATTAACTTCTTTCTTTTTCTATCTTCCATCTCTCTCACCTGGAATAAAAATGAGACAAAAATTAGAAATCGTTTCCTACTTACATGTACATACACTGATAAAACAGCAAGGTATTCATCAGCATATTGTAAACATTCTGAATATAAACACCTCCATGGGGCCAAGGCTTAATATTTTTCAGCTTTTGTTTTTTTTACACATAACATAGTAATTATTTACAGTACTTGCTGCATTACCTAGAGCATATTGATATACCGTAAATATTCGTGTATAGTGCACACTTTTTTAAGCTGAAACTGTCGTGTCAAAAAGGGGGTGCGCACTATACGCAGGTACATGCCATTCCTGGGGTTATCATTCCCGAGTTCTGCATCCGCCATATTGGATTACCTCCCTTCACATAGTTATATGTAAAAGTCGTCGGTCTTATATGATAGTTTGGAGATAAAAACAACAAAAAAATAAAATAAAATAAATTTCGAATGTTTTAATCATCTGCCATTCACGCTAGCATTACGGTGAATCTAATTTTTTTTCGTTTCCCGTCGGTCTTACTATTGGTCGGGGCTATAGTAGTGTCTGAATTTCTGCCTCATTTTGATGATGTATCTGTGGAATTCAATGAATCCGGAAGTTTTTAGGCGATTGTCGTTATGTTCATAAATCAGACAGCCCATCCCACCGATGCCCAAAGTTGGTGACCCCATGACCTCTTGATCTGCATGGCCCGCACGCGCAGTTCTGTTGTACTGGCAGCGATGCCGGGATATCGGCGATCGCATACAAAGTTGAACAGCTCTCTCTCTCCATCTCTGGGTGTTTCGCTGTCGAACCTATGTTAGCCCTTCTGGTCAGTGGTTGGGACTTTAGACTGTCTTTTCTTTCTTCCGTGCCTTGATATTTCACTCTGGAATGTCGAAGTGGCGACCGGCGGCACGAAACTCCAGTCTCTCGGCGTAGTCAAATGGCGTTCGCAGTTTCCCCATGTCGAAGTCAGTGTAAACAATCTATCATTAAATACCTTCGGATACCGCGGTGGGCACAGATACCATGAAAGATCATGCCTATACTGAACAAACCACCTGGTAGGATTGAAAATGTTCAGACAGTTAAAACAACATCGTTTTCTGACCAATAGCACGCGTTCAGCCCAAGCCGGGTGTCATCAGTCTCCTCATACTCAACGTGTTAACTGCCATTAACCGTTAATTATACAATCAGCCAAGCCTTTCATGCTTGTTAGGTCACCTGGGTAAATTTGTTTACTTAAGGTAATTACATGTGTTAGGGTCACGCTCATTGTGGTTTCCTAATTATCAATGGATCAGACCACATCAAATGTTTCGTCGCAGTGACCAGTCAATTCATTTTTCTGTAGATTTTTTTTTTTAAATCTGATCTCCAAAAAGTACCTGCGCACTATACGCGAGTGCGCACTAGGACTGCAACGATATACCGTCCCACGGTATATCGTCAAAAAAAGTCACGGTTCGGTTCATGATACGGGGCATATCCGTACGATACGGCGTACGGTACGGGTTTTTATTTTTTGATACGCCGATCAAGGGAGGTTACTCTTACTGACTGTAAAGTTGTTAACACAATGGCGACCGATCTCAAATCTCCACCGGCGACTTTCAAATCCAAAATATGGAAGCATTTTGGATTTAGACAGGAAGATAAAGATGGTAAGGTAGTAACAGAGTTTACAACTTGTCGCCACTGCGATATGAATGTATCTTATAAATGTGGGAACACAACAAATATGGCGACGCACTTGAAACGCCATCACAAGGATATCTACGAAAGTCTTTCTCATGAGTTATCACGAAAGAAAGAGAAAACAACAACACAGGAATCGAGTAACACTAGCTGTACTACTGGTCAACTACGCCTTCAAGATGTATTACACAAAAGAATGACATTTTCTTCACCAAGGGCCGTGGCGATAACAAAGTCCATCGGACAATTCATTGCAGTAGACATGAGACCTTTTAGCGTTGTTGAAACTTCGGGATTTAAGCACATGATAAATACACTAGAACCAAAATATTCCATCCCATCGAGAGCCCATTTCAGCGAAAAAATCATTCCTGAAATATATAGTGAAACTGTCAATAGAGTAAAGAATGAACTTAGTCAGGCTGACTTTATCGCTTTGACCACAGATGGATGGACATCTAAGGCCACACAGAGTTACAACACTGTAACAGCTCATTTTATTGATAATGACTGGAATTTGAAATGTTATGTGCTGCAGACAAGGCCGTTATTTGAGTCTCATACAGCTGAAAACTTGGCAGATGTGTTACAGGAAACTGTGAAGGAGTGGAAATTAAAAAGGACAGTAAAAGTTGGAGAAGTTCTTTCAGACAAAAGGATTGCTGTTACCACAGACAATGCTTCAAATATTGTTAAAGGTGTAAATCTAGCTGGTTTTGAACCACACATTAGATGTTTCGCCCACTGCTTAAATTTGGCAGCCCATAAAGCTATGCAGATAAGCTCTGTTTCTCGACTTTTGGGTAGAATGAGACGAATAGTCACATTTTTCCACTCAAGTTCCACAGCTACAAAGAAACTTAAAGATAAACAGAAAGCATTGAACCTTCCAGCAAAAAGACTTGTCCAAGATGTGAAGACCAGATGGAATTCCAGTTTTGATATGATGAGTACTTTTCTGGAACAGCAGCCAGCTGTATATGCAACATTAACGGAGAAAGACATTAAAAAGAACCTTAAAGAAGTTGTAACCCTATCTGACACGGACATTTCTCTAGCTGAGGAGTTGGTAGATGTGTTGAAGCCCTTGAAAACCATAACCACCATCATGTGTGAGGAAAAATCACCCACTATATCTCTAGTTCACCTGATGAAGGAACGACTGCTAAGGCAACTGAGAGAAAATGAGTCTGATTCAGGTCTTGCTGCCCAGGTAAAAACAGAAATACGTAATGACATCGAGTCAAGATATTTGATCCAGACATCATCAGATGGCTTGAGATGTGCTGTGCCCTGGATCCCAGATTCAAGACCCTGCCCTATCACGACCAGGTCGAAGCCAATCGAGTCTATGGCAATCTTGTAGACATGATGACAGAATCAGAAGAAGAGGTATTTTTGCATGATTTAATAGTTGAATATCTGTTGAATTTAGCAAATTAAACTTAAAATAGTTCTTTATGGTATTTTAGAGGTTTGTCAAAAGTCTAAACTATTGTTTATAATTTTATACTTGTAACTCTGCTTGTAAGTTTTGTATACATGTATTACAGTATTAGGTAATTAAAAAGTATTTTCATAATGATACATACAGATACAATGATTATAGCAAACATTCTATTCACGGGAATATTTTAATAACCTCTAATCTGCCTTTGAGACATTAATTTATTATGACCTACTGTTAACATTATATCAAAACGTTTTATTTAACATTGTTAAGGTTCAAGTTTCATTTTGTCACTTTGATTCTTAAAATTTTATTTGCTTTATGTCTTTGACAAAGACATAAAGCAAATAAAATTCTTTGCCCTTTCTCCTTTATCATCCTTTATTGATCTGTTTATATCCTCTTGGTTGTGTTGTGTTAATTTTTTCAGTTTTCTGCTTATTCTGATGTTTAACAGTCATACAGTGACTATTTATCGTTGGACAAAAAAAAACCCAAACATCCAAAACATAGACATAACTCATCTTAAAGGTAGGTTGAACATATTTGGAGTTACATGTACGTTACTGATTATTGATTTATAAATATAATAATAATATACAACATGTACAATGTATGTGTCAAATTGTCAATATAGAATTCATCATTTTCAAGGAAATGTTTTTATAAACACTAAAAAGGTAATGAATTTAAATGATTAATAAATAGAAGCAACTTTTTAAAATTGTTTAAACAATTACAATTCCATTGTGAAATTCTTAATTTCATACATTTCTGTCATTTCATGATTTCAGTTTCACTGTATTTTTAATTATTTACCATAAATTCACATGAAGTTTAGTTTAAATCTGACATAATGTTTGCTCATAATTATTGAATAATCAATATCTAATTAATCTATCCATACTATATCGAGTTAAGTAATATATAAAATAAATATTTCTTTTATTAAAAACACAATTAAGGTTATCAGTAATCCCATGTCTGGCATTTTCTGAGTGTTTAGAATTTGTTGAACTAATATTGTATTCTAATTAATTTGTTAGGTTCGAGTGAAAATGGAGCCAGACCAGAGTCCATCCACATCAGATGATGCCATGAAAGCTGACAGGATTAGCAATACAAAAGGTTAAAATAAAATTTAATAAATTTGGTCATAATTTTATTGTTCATTTGCACACTCATCTTAGTGACCTTACCAAATAAAACTTTTTCATTGACCCAAAATAGTTCAGTATTACCCCTGCAAAACACTGTAAGTCTATAACACTAATATAATAATACACATTTAAAGTTTATAACTTTACATGTAAATACCTATAAATTGCTTAAATGTTAATTGTTTATTTTAATTTTTTACATGTATGTTTATAGCTTTTCAATTCTTTTTCAGGTTCTCCTGATTCAGATGAATCAGTTGAATCTAGTCCTAAAAGGAAAAAGCTGAAGTCTGCCATGGAAGATCTGTTTGGGGATATAATGGTTGTAAATGTTGAACCTGGGAAGCCAATTAGAACCAGGGCTGAGAATGAGATCCATAAATACAGAGCCTCACAAGGAATCCAACTTAAGGACAACCCACTGGCATGGTGGAGAGAGAATCAGGATAATTATCCTATTCTCTCCAGACTTGCCAGATCATATCTGGCAATTCAGGGTACCTCTGTACCCAGTGAACGTGTCTTCTCAACTGCAGGAGACATAGTGTCTGCGCAGCGTGCTGCCCTTTCACCTGAAAATGTGGACATATTGATCTTTTTAAAAAAGAACTTACAATTTTAATTTGAACCAATATGTGTTAATTGTTGTAGTTTGATAAAGTTTGAAAGGTTAACATTGTTTATATTTTGTTTTAATTCAGGTATCATTACTTTGTTTATTGCATTCTAAGTTGAAACACCGTATGGCGATACGTATTGTATCGTGGCCCCTGTATTGCGATACGTATTGTATCGTGAGGTACCCGTATCGTTACACCCCTAGTGCGCACTATACGTGAATATTTACGGTATATATAAATATAAATTATGTACAATGAACTTACAATGTCTGGTTTATTTCTTGACCGCTCCCTTAGCACTTCAACCTTTTTTACCAGAGGAACAGAATAGACATGGACAGGTGATCCTGGTGTTGGTTGGTTTTCAGCTTATCTTATATCTGGTGACATGGTATCAACATGGTCATCCTTAACCTGAAAAAAATTAATAGTAATACATATAGATCTAGTTGCAAAAATAAATAAATATTGCATAATAGGAAAAGAATTTCATCTTGTTTCCTGCCTCATTTTAACCCCTCCCCCACTTTAAGTTTTTATGTCACTAATTAACACACTGACACCAGCTGTCTAGTGATTTCTCAAAAATCCTTATCTTAATTTCACATATGATTATTGCAAATCCACTTGCCCAACAACCTTGGCAAGCTGTTTATAAACAAATCAACTCCCAAAACTACATGTACATGTAGCTCCATCTCTTGTCATTGTAACCAGGAGCCATCCTAGAGCTATGTGTGTGCCCATTTGTTACCAAGATAGATTTAGCATTGCATGCACATATACATACTTTTATTTCAGTTTTTAATTTTACTAAAAGTCTAACAAAATTAAAAGCACAAAATAAAAATGACATTTGGCTAATGAAATAATTACATAAATATGAATTAAATGTTTTTCCAGAATATTTTTTTTTCCAGGATAATTTTTTACCCTACTTACTGTACTGTACCTACCCTATTTTTAATTTGTCAAATTAAAGGAGGCAGGGAACAAAACAAATGGGCCTTATACTACAAAACACATGCTATGCAACATTTATCTCTTTATCAAAAAGAAAGTTTAAACTTATAAAACTCAAATATATGTAAAATGCATATGAAACCAACTGCTGTCCCATGGCCAGAACATGAACTGATCAGCTTTTGGCATGCATATGATGGGGCTACATGTACACGTGAATGACCTCGTAAAGTTGGCATAAAACATAGGAGCCCCACATTATCCCTAAACTTGAAATCAAACAGATCTAGAGTCTACTGCCAATTTCAGAAAACAAATTTATTAGAAATTTACCAAAACCGGTGTGTTAATATGATGATGATGAATGATGATGATGACGACTCGTATGTGTGAATGTTAGTATAAGTGTCATGTCTTGTTAATTTTTTGAAATATAGATTCTAGATATACTGTGCTAAAATTTGACCCTTCTGTCACAAACCTGACCCATTTACTGGAGAAAAATGGTACAAAATGCAGGATGGACAACAATTTGTGAAATTCAAGCAGCAGCAGTTTGTTTAGGTCTAGATATAATGTTTGGTTGAAGGGACAGTAACTTCAGGTGAAAAAAAAACCAGTTAATCATCTTCAACTTAACTTTTTTTCCATGGACCACAGCTATGCCACTGATCACTGCTACCATGGAGCATCTAACATAATAAACTATACAGCAAATGTGATAACATACATTATGGTATTAATATATATGTATAATATACATGCTGTGAAAGTACCGGTAACTCTACCTACAGGATGGACTCCATTGTCCCACAACACTGTGTAACCCGGTTGTACTGGGGTCTATTAAAGGATGACTAGAACAACCGGGTCGGGTTCGTTTATTTAATACAGATAGTCATAGTTGAAGGTACATCACCAATACATAAATTCCTACCTAACACAATTTACACAAAAAAACTTTCCCTCCAAAAATACAGGTAGATTACATGACCATACCTATACATAGAACATATACAACACTGATACTCAGGTAAGTGAAGGTCACGGGTTCGGACCCCAGTCTGGCTGTGCATTTGTAACACTCCTGCTTCATTTGGTGCGGTGACCAAACCTTGTTTCAAGCAGTAGGTGAGTGCTTAACAAGGGGATACCCGAACCTGGATTGCTAGATGTAATGTCTTCGGGGGCGAAAACTTAAAATAAGGAGAGAGGAGTGTAGCGGTACTGGAGCGGGTCAATCGTCCGCGACCATTTAATAGGTATTATAACCTACTCAGTAGGTAGAGCATCCGTCTAGAGTTCGGAAAGGTCCCGGGTTCGAACCCCGGCCTGGCCGTGCATTTTCCCTCTCCTGTTACACACTAATAAATTCATAAATATATGCATAGACCCTAATTGCATAACTTTACAATAGACAACTTTACCTACACGAACACTAATTATATAAAAGAAGTCAAATAATTAAAAGACCACAGTTATTATATGCTATATCAATACAATATTTTATCTGAGAAATTACATTATTGAATGAGGTGAAATCGTTCACCTGGCCACAACTGGACTGACGAAAGATCTTGGATACACGTGTAAAATCAGGTAAAAAATATTTTCCCTTTTCTAGGCCTAAATCAATGTTTATGATATCAAATAAATTCTTGATCGGGGATGGCAAAAAATGCAGTGTGACAACTGACATAAAACTGGGCTAGCTTCGCTCTTTCCAGGCCGTGCCTGACTCATATTATATTGAATGTATGTTTGATAGTGAAATATAATGATATAAATTAAGACCATTTTTAACTGAAGTACCGAAACGTCCAGGTACCGAAACGTCCAGGTACCGAAACGACCAGGCACCATTTTGTATCTCCGCCATTTTGTAGGCTACCTGTCATAATTTTACCATGGCAATTTTACGGTGAGATAACTCGAAATTAAATTTTCTTTTTAATACCAATGTAGTTACCCTTGTAATTATCAGAATATACAAACTTGAAAACGAGTTAAATATTATTTTTATTGCAGAATAGAAACAAAATATAAAATAATAAACTTCATGGAACTTTATTTAGTCAACTACAGACCAAGCAAATACTTTTGTGTACAAGATACATAAGATACAGTCTAATATGTGTTCGTGCTTAGTCGTAGTTTACAGATCAGTTTTGCACCGAGAGATCACTCTGTCAGCGAGTGCACTGCTACGATAAAAATAGCCTGTAAACTTTACTACCCGAGTCACAAATGCGATCAGAATAATGTTGACGACTTAATACAAAAGGCATTTAAATTTAAATAGACATGGCCTTACCTTACTTTGATTCCAAGAATATAACATCAAATATGGTGCATGTTGTTCCCGCACTCTTCATACATGTGTGTAAGTTGTACTTCCGCTGAAAAGTAGAACGCCTACCTGAATTATGTCGTTAAAGTGTAAAATAGCCCAATGTACATTTGTCTGCAGCTATGTGCCGTGTAGGAAACGTAAATCATGATAATGACCGGCTATAACATTTTCATGGTAAATTGTTAAGAAATATATATTTTACGACAGAGGTGGGCAAAGGTTAACACACTTATTGATATAGTTGTTGCTATTCATTGCATACATTTTGGGGTTGACAAGTCACTTTTAAATTCAGCTGAGAAGCACATGATTAGCTCCAAGTATATCCATATATATGTAACACAATGAAAATGATGAGATCTGAAAATATTTATCCCGCGTAGGACCTCACACAAAAAGTCATCTTAAATCTTATTCCACGATTGTCAAAATGACGAAAACTTAGGGTGACAACAAAATGTCCCCCTAAGTGATTTTTCGGACATATAAATATCTAAAAATCGCATATTTTTCGAAAAAGCAATGTTTTTTCATGGTTGGTGACTTTTTGCTTTTATTCAAATCGATTTGATGTTAAAACAATGACGGATTATCAATGTCCACCTAAATGATGTATTTATATGGTGTCCCCCTAATGTGACTTTCACGAGAATATATATATATATATGTGTGTGTGTGTGTGTGTGTGTGTATATGGTTATTTTCACATTTTATGTTTTCAGCCGATAACAATGTGAGCCGATTCGAATTCGATAACTATTTCACATCGGTAAGTTGCAGCTGAACTTCCTGAGATACAGCATAGTTACTCAACTCCTAACCATATGAACAATACGGTTTATGTGTTCACACTGAACGGAAGCTATGCTTCTGAATATTATGTGTTGTTATTTGAGGAATGTGTTAAATACCTGATACGATTCGTCAAATTTAAACTTACGTGACATTTCTCTAACGTAAAAGTGTTGTCGGCAATTACAAAAATGCAATAATTCAATAACATACGTAGTGTATTGATCGTACACATGATAGAAGGACCATCTTAAATAATTTCATTGCCAAATTGAAACGTCTTCGGTAAATTCTGGGAAATGAGACAAAATATTAACATGAACACGTGAAGTGGTATTAAAGAAAGGAATTACCTATCTATCTGTAGCCACAAAAGGAGATATAGACGATTTCCCATATGTTTTGGTTTATATCATGATGCATCATTCTACATCTAAGAATCAGACATCGAGAACAAGTCTACAATATTCATTATAAAAACGTCCGTCTGTACAAACTATCTAGTGATAGAACATCTGTTTAGAGATAACAGTACAAAGTTTGATAATTCGTATACGTACGACATGTATTTTATCTTAGTATACCATAACTGTTACATGCCTTAATATATTTAATTTACAGTTAGTTGAGTTGGCAATAAAGAATCACGGATATTTACTTGGATAACAGGCTTGTATACGTTTCTGTAAGTATAAAATCAATTTCGAAATGAGGGAATATGTAGATATGTATTCTTCATAGATTGTCAAGTATATTTCTAGAATGAAGTTGGTTTAGCAGGTTACTTATCGCTCCTTGTGGGAGTTTCCTGTTAGTCGAGGGGTAGAGTGTCCGGCGAGAGATCGAAGGGTTGTTAGTTCGAACCCCACCATGGGTAGGGCATATTTTGTCGTTGATCACTCCAATGAGAACAGCTATCGGACATTATGGTGCTTCCTTGGAGTTATCGGACTTGGCTGGTTGTTGAAGACTTTGTGAAGGAGAAAGTATTGTAGAAGATGAGGTTACAGGTCGCCTTACTAGCTTCGCCTAGTGGGTGTTTCTCGTTAGTCAAGCGTAGAGCGTTCAGCGAGAGGCAGAAGGGTCGCTAGCTCGAATTCAATCGGGGCAGGATGTTTTATGTAAATATTAAACACATAACACAATGCCATCATTATATATATAAGCAGTTGCAATTATTGATAGGGTTCAAAATGCTCAGGGTGTTGTAAAATTAACTTTGGTATGTTGCGTCTTGACGTGCCGCGGTTTCTTATCCAAAGATCAAACAAAGTTCAGAAATGCAATGCAATTTCTCGAGATAACAACTCCGCAGAAGTATATCAATAGAAGGAAAAGGATAAGATAAGAAGAATGTAGATGTACAACCTTCCAAGTATTGCTTAAATATATGTATCAACACTTCTTTGATTGTCTTGTCATTTGGAACATTTTCTCTTACAGATGACTTGCCTTGAGACGTTTGTCAGCTCCTACTGATGTGTTGACACTATTAAACGTATAATGAGATTTCCTGTTGAGTTGCTTCTTATTTTATTAACTACAAAGCAAAACAAATAAATTAAAAATGTTGAATGTAAAAAGGGTTTACACGTCGACACTCTTTCTGTCCTGCTCTCAATTAAACATTAAGAATCAACATTAAGATATATGTTCTTGAAATCAAAATCTTAGATAGAATATAAATAAAGACATAAGCCTTGGGAATTTCCAAAATTTGACCAAAAGTATGTGGTCAGTCCGCACCACGCGAGCATCAAGTTCAGTGGAAAACCAGACCAAGGAAACAAGTTCAACTTCACAAATTCCAAGATTCAATAACAGTGTAAACCATTGAATTATTTTTTTAACCTGGATCAGCGCTCATAGTTTAACAACTTCTTTATACTAAATCTTCCCGGGAATAGCAACTCTGATAACAAGCTTATTCCGAGTTGAATTTCACACTTTCAGATGTCATTATTACACATTAGTATAAGCTTGTTAATTTTGAAGTTATGGACACAGGCGCCGCCATGTTGCCATCTAACGAAACAAACTGCAACTCTTTAGAAAATTAGAGTGACCAAGTGCCGTCTCGAAGTCAATGATATCGGGAGAGTCATGTGCGAGCTGCGATAAATGTTATTACCACACCTTAGTGAGGAGGAATCTGCTCAAGTATAAATTGCTCCCGTCATTCCTTTATAATGAAATATTACCCACATGGAAAATACCTATTCCCCTTTAAAGAAATATTCTAGACCTCCCTTCACGGTATTTAGAATATATTGTCGAAGTGCCCTGTCTCACTTATATTTTGGTATTTGATGTAATTACTCCGAGTTCCTTGAGCAATAGTTGTGAAATATTTTCTTGACTCCAGGTAAAGAGTTATATACACGAACCGAAAAAATAATTTCAAATGATACTTGCAAACCTTGCTATATGCATATAAGTTATCACCTCACAATGCATGGACAGCAATTTGGGCACTCTCTTTCTAACCGATTAATGCATAATTCTTGCCATAATATGCTTGTTCCCGCCCTTTCCAGGTCAAGGTCAGGACCTCCTAGCCCAATTGTGCGGCAACTGATGCATGATTCATTAATATTATTATAGAAAATCCACCAAAACACGCTCCAAGTCATGAAATGTCTTCATCACTATATCAGGAAAGATAACATGTCACCAGTTCTAATCACAGAATCTGAGAACGTGATTAATGGGGTGCAATTGTCACTTCCAACAACCTACCTCTTTCATAGTTTCAGCTGAATAGCCGATTTTAAGAGCTGCTCGGATGCAGATCCAATACAAAAGGTGAAATGTATCTGGACTTCACCATCCAAGAACTTTTTCGAGTAAAGCAGATAATTGGTATTTTGTCAGAGGTGCTCCTAGCCTGAAAATGCTTCCATGAATTGCACAGGACATGGTTTCTATTTATTTATCTTAAATGGAATTTTTGTTATCCGACCTGATTGATCAGTTTTGGAAAATTTCAGAGTCACAAGCGTATGTTTAATTTTTACGAAAGATATATCCATTTTCTATTCGATCCTTGAATAAGGACAACTCGCTAACCTCCCCTTGGCCGCTAGGTTGCGCTGAAGCATTTATCACAAACGTTTCTTTTTAAGAGATGGTGCCCCCTAAAACTATTCACTGACGGATCGTATACACGTTGCTGAAAGTCACGCACCACGACACAAATCGTGTAGTCGTATAGCATTGGTTAATGATAACGATGATTGAGGAAAAGGATGAATATAAGACAGGCACACAATGCGAGGAGAGTGAATCCAGACCAATAGGTCCAAATCAAAAGTGTTTATCCTGGCTATTACAGTTGTGGAAGGGTAAGAGTATCTGACCTATTTTAACTAAATGTAATAGGTTTCTGGTATAAAAAACGCGCCTATGTATTATGTCCTCTGTTGTGATGTAATGTAAAGATATGCTTTGCGACGTTGATGTCCTTGGGTGTGGTTGTTATTTGGACAGGTTGTAAGATTGTTTACGTGTTTCGACTGTTTAGCTCTATTGTCTATGTGGTTTGATTGGTTGGTTGGCCAGTTTCGCTGGTGTTTCTTTGTACCCTTTGTGGACTCACAGGTGACAGACGTACCTTTTGATTGTAAATATTTTTGCCAGATTTGGTGTTTCTTTTTATGATTATTTTCATTCATTTGGATAGTTTGACCTGTCTATCGTACGGTCGAAATGCTCTTATCAAATAGGAGTTTTGAGAATCTGATGATTGTTTAAAGTAAATTTGATTAAATGTGTATGTATTTTAGATCGAACCTCTAGCATGTTTTTTTTATTTGTTACAGTGATGTCTCATGTGATTCTTATGTGACCTGACATGGATGGCAGAGAAACAAAAACAGCTGATGTTATTAGAAAGAATTAGCACTCCGCCACACAGTCGCCTTACCATTTAGGTATATTACAGTTGTGGTAACGCACAACACACCAAAGCCTGAGTGCGCACAGCGTGCACACTCACATGATACGGCTATCATTATTTTTTATTTGTATGATGCTAACGACATTTTTGTAATACATTATCTGATATCTAATTGCATAAAAATGTAACACTTTTATATTATGTATTCACGTATATGTCTCTCTTGGCCATCGATGCATAATATTGAACCATGTTTAACCCTTGTCTGAAAGTCGTGATGAAATAAAATGTGGAAAACCTTTGCGACTAAACACAGGAACATCCTGTCCATACATAACACAGAAACATACTGTCCAAA